TCAGCACCACGGATAGCTACGGGCCCCGTTCAGACGGACGAGTTCGTCCATGGTCGAAACAGAGGAGAGGGAGAGAGACAGCTGCGAGGCCCTAGTATACTCCATGTTGTAAAACTATACCATTAACTGTGGTGTGAGAGGTATTAAGAGGCAATGCTGGCGAAAGAGCTGCGGTCTGAAGGTCATCGTAAAAATACAATTAATTAAGAACAGAAATGATTTAAAACATCTTTCCAGTGGTTACTAAGCCTGAATCCATCTTCTCGGTTGAAATTGTCTCTGTGCTTGTATATGTGAATGGCCTCATGAACTAATCTCTCATGGTAGCCGGTTGGTTTGCAAAGAACCTCCGTCTTGGAGAAGTAAATGTCACGTGAGCCCACTGAATTATAACAGTGATCTGCCACGGCAGAGGAGTTCGTCCTACCGTGTTTCAAGTCTGCTTTATGTTCGCGGATGCGGTCCGAGATATGTCTTTTTAGGGGTCACTAAAAAATCTCCAAAATCCTGAATAAACACAAGATCCAGGTCCGATTCAACACAGTACATAAAATCCGTGATTTAGTTCCATCTGTAAAATATGCTGTTCCAGACATACAGTACCCGGGCGTTTACAAACTAAAGTGCCTCTGTGGTAGTAGCTACATTGGAGAAACCAAAAGACATATCTCGGACCGCATTACCGAAAGTACCAAAGAAGATGAATCATTGCAGTCACGAAAGCTTTAAATCGATATATGCAGAATGTCACCCCTGTCACCCCCCTGGCTCCGCCCCTGAATAGCATATAGCAAACTGATAAAAAAAAAAACTAAAATATAAACTACATCAATGTTATCAATAAACTCAATATACTCTCCAATCAGCTGAGCTACTTAACAATAGGTCTCTACATCATTAGACCTCCTTTGCCAGTACCAAAATGTAATAACAGGGTTTTCCCCTTTTTTTCTGGCAACAAAACTGAAACCTTGTTACGATGATTCATGTGTGCATTAACCACAATACCTGCAGTCAAAATGCAAAAAAAAAACATACTATGATAATATATTCATTGTCCTTGAAACTGATTGGTCCACACCAAGGGACGGCTTTCTTTTGAGCCTCGACCCAATTGGTGCTCGACCTGGATCTTGTGTTTATTCAGGATTTTGGAGATTTTTTTGTGACCCCCGCAAATGTAGAGTAAGGTGATGGTTTTGAATGGCTTCTCATTGCGGGGGTCACAAAAAAGATCTCCAAAATCCTGAATAAACACAAGATCCAGGTCCGATTCAACACAGTACATAAAATCCGTGATCTGGTTCCGTCTGTAAAAGATGTGGATCCAGACATACAGTACCCGGGCGTCTACAAACTAAGTTGCCTCTGTGGTAGCAGCTACATTGGAGAAACCAAACGTCATATCTCGGACCGCATCCGTGAACATACAGCAGACTTGAAACATGGTAGGACGAACACCTCAGCCGTGGCAGATCACTGTTATAATTCAGTAGGCTCACATGACATTGACTTCTCCAAGACAGAGGTTCTCTGCAAGCCATCTGGCTACCATGAGAGATTCGTTCATGAGTCCATCCACATATACAAACACAGAGACAATTTCTACCGAGAAGATGGATTTTGGCTTAGTAACCATTGGAAAGAAGTTATACACCATTTCGGTTCATAATTGATTGTATTTTACAGTGACTTTCAGACTGCAGTCCATTAGCTGCCACTGCCTCTTAATACCTTTCACACGACGGTCAATGGTATGGTTTATAGCATGTTGTATAATAATAAATAGTATAACAGTGTAATGTTTAACATAATTCATAAGGCAATATATAGTATCGTAATTGTATAGTGAATATATAGCAGTGTGGTATACAGTAGGGTTGGTAGAATAATGTGTAATATTAAAAGTCTAATATTTTACAGTCTAAAGCATAGGGTAGTGTATAGTAACGCAATGTATAATTCAAGGGTGGGTTTGTCTATGGCAGTGTATATTACGGTGTATAGTCGTGTAATGTAGAAAAAAGTTTAGGTGGAGACATATCAATATAATGCATAATGTTAGAGCTTACATTGGGCTGTGTATACAATATTATACAATGTAGTTTAGATTGGAAGGTATAGCATTGCAATGTATAGTAGTCTAGTTTATAACATAGTTGTAACACAACACAGGACAGAGCAGCGCATCGTGGCTGTTTCTCCCCCCTCCTCCGTTCCGAGCATAGATGGACTCGTCCGTCTGAACAAAGCGCGTCGCTTTCTGTGGTGCTAACGTTGAAAAGAGAAAACCGTCACCCTTTTTTCGACATAGAATTGTAATGTATAACGACTTATTGTTAGTAGCTCAGCTGATGGAGAGTATATTGAGTTTATTGATAACATCGATGTAGTTTATATTTTAGTTTTTTATCAGTTTACTATGTGGTATTCATTATATAGTGTAGTGTATACCCAGTTACTTTATGTTAATAGCTCAACTAATTGAAGAATATATTGAGTACATTTATTATATTGATGTAGTTTATACTTCGTTTTTCTCATCGGTTTATTGTATGATAGTTGGGTAGTTGCAGTCCTTTAGCGTCAATATACTAAATGCATCTGTTGATATGTAAACTCTGACTTTAACATAGTTATTTCCGTGACCAGTTACATGCTAATCCCTCACATTAACATCATGCTAATCTCCCAGTTACATGCTAATTTCTGACTTTAACACCCTGCTAATCCAACACTTTAACACAGCTATTTCAATGCTAAATTCTCCTGTTGATATGTAAACTCCTTTGTCAAGGCGCTCTGCTCCTCCCACCTAGCTTAAAAGATGCTGCGAAGCTTAGCAGCATTCATTGAAGTGCTGTTGTCCCGACAGTTCTGTTTCTTCACCTGAAGAAGGCTACTTGTGTTGTGGCCAAAACGTCGTGAGAATTTTATTAAATTATGTTTTATTTATATTATTTTATTTCCATTCTACGTGACTTTACCGAAAGAACCAAGAAGATGAATCCCTGCAGTCACGAAAGCTTTGAATCGAAATTTAACCGCCTCTACAGGGAGGGAGTCCACATAACCTTGAGATCCTTCAACAAACTCCGGGATAAGAAGGCTCAGCTAATCGAGTCTCTCACATTTCTAAAGAGATGCCGCGACTCTAAGGTAATACCAACCGCATTTACACTAACCTCTGTTGCTGTAACTTCTTTTGATGCAAGACGAATTCTAGCTAGAACTAGATTAGCTCTTATCTCAGAAAAAAATCAGACTTATGCGCACCGAACTAGATCAGTTAGACAAGACACTCTTCAAATCACACTTATCATTGACGGCAACAATGTCCACATCGGATTGGGAACTTGTAGACAATATGACTGCCTCTTCAGCTGCCACTATGTCGACCAAATGTAAGGACAATTTTATTTCAAAATTCAACCGCCATTCCAACAAGAAATCGGATGCACACACCGAAAAGCTAGACGTTAACAAAGTCAAAATTAATCGCAGTAACAGTTCTATTTTTGATGGTCTGAAATCCGTTTTAGCTAAAGGGCTAAACTTTGCAGACACACCTAGACACATACCAGTTAATGATATCATTGCCCATGTCGACGTGGCACTCAAGGGCCTGGGTCATATCGCTGCAGACGTAGCAAGACCTGAAATCACTGAAACCCTCAAAAACGCTAAGATGCCACCTAGCAACATCAGCAAAGATGAGCGCTTGAATGATCTCAATTAAAAAAGAGAGATGACATGGCCATCCTCTCAGCCGACAAGGGCACTGCCACTGTCATCATGGACAAAATAGAATATAACAACAAAATTCAGGAACTACTCAACGATGGCAGCTATACAAAAATAAGAAGAGACCCCACCAACAGCCTCGTTACTAAAACCAACAAAATCATTGTGATTCAACAGCATTAATTGATCAAACCAAACAGTTATCATTGAAACCTTCTGCGGCCAGGCCACCAAGATTATATGGCCTTCCAAAGATACATAAAGAAGATACACCCCTTCGTCCTATCGTTTCTACTATTAACTCCCCCACCTACAAACTGGCTCGTTTTCTGTCTGAAATCCTGCGGCCTTTTGCTGGAAAAACCACCTCTGCGGTACTAAACTCTACTCACCTGGTATCGACAATCAAGGGTATTTCCCTGTCCCCAGACGACCTGCTTGTCAGTTTTGATGTAGTTTCCTTATTCACCAAAGTTCCTGTACCTGACACCATCGCAATCATTGAAGACTTGGTTCATCAAGGACTGCATACTGATATACCCCCCTGGTGAGATACTGCTTAACCAACACATACTTAACCAACAAACACGCGTGCCAACATCCACCAATCACGATCACGCGGCGCTCAATTATGGTCGTTCGTAGTTCTAATAGGGGCACGTGTTCTCGTCGTTTAACACATTTTGTCGCAGTCCACATTGTCATCAATTATCCGTTTTAATAATCTCAGTTCATATCACCTGTTCTGATATACAGGAGGTGGCAAAATGTTGGTCAGGCGACTGCTATCAAAGCATAATGATCAAATACCTGTGGTGTACCTATTTACAATGCTGGGTGGGCATTGGTTCAACTGCCGCTCGGGGAGATCGAACCCGAAGACCTCTGCATTACACATCCAGTGAGCAAACCTTGACACCACGGCAGATCCACGTACATGTGGACATATCAGTCAAATCCTGAAGTGAAAACGCGGACATCTCATTTGCGTACAATTATTAAAGCAGTGTTTGTGGTGTCGGCTGCGAGTGACGCTGTAGATTTAATTTAATTCGTCCCCGTGCAAACTCCTCCACTGCCTCCATCAAGCGCCCGCTTGATGACAATGTTGGGGCCGCTTGGCACGCGCCTCCCAGTCCATTGTCTGTTGATGTTCTTGCTGATTCTGTGCTCTGGCATCACGGACTTGCCTTGTCAATTAGCCGGGAAACGAGATAAACGGGACCAATCAAGAAAATCATCACTCAATCGCACAATGAGAGCGAGCAGGTGTGAGTGGTGACGTCACTGGCCGCCCTGCATAAAAGCCGCAACGAGAGGGGGCAACAGTCGTCGTCAAAGCTGCAGACGTCTTTTTCAGGTATTGCTTGTGGGGCTGTGTTGGGCAAGACGCCTTGTGTAGTAGCACTCCAACGAAGCTGGAGTGCTACGTGATTGATGTTCCATCGTGTTGTAGTTCATCATTCTGGTGAGTAGAGAGAGGTGCCGTGTGCATTCCCTTCACGTGATTGAAGACTACCTCGTCGTGTTCTCGCAGATTCCTCTTGCGTACTGACTCGACCGTGCATCGCTTGCCAAGATGAGCGACCTCCATGCAGCCACCCTGAAGCTCCTGGCCACCTTCAATGAACTCGCCTGCGACAGTGCTGTGAAAGATTGTCTGAAGAAGGAAAAGTTCAGGAGCTTCCTAAAGGGGGATAAGGGCAAGAGTCTGATCCAGGTGAGACGTTGCTTAACTATTCCTATGGACCAGTCCCTCTGTTCATTCCATTTGAGTCTCCGGTTGTATCCTAAAGCTTGCACCCTCATCTCCCTTCTGTAATAATAAAGGTTTTTGGTTCGGATAATGTCGAGATAAATGGCTGTTAAACTCGTAAACCGTGCCGATTAGCTGCTACTTAAGCACACCAGTGTGTTGGAGAGAACGTACAACTTGTACTATTGAGTACGCCATTTAGCTTATTTTTACAATCGGCTTCATGAGGCGATGGCCAGGATTGTGCAGTGGTGTTTCGATCTTAAAGAGATGGTGTCTGGCTGGGTAAATCGGGGGTCAATTAACGGATAGGAGGTGAATTTAGTCTTGTATATTCGAATGGACCTTGTTAATTCTGAGAAATGCAGTACGTATTGTGGTTGGCTTATTCACAGTCGATCAACATGGTATAATTTACGTGGCAAATGGAGGTCCTTCAACCGTGTATCACTTGCTGTAGATTTTGCCCGTATTCTGCAGTCCAGTCTTTTCTAACTCTTGCTGCTGTGATTCCATTTAGAATCCCGTGGATGGGTTCGTGGTGAGCCGCATCCTGAGGGACCTTGGTGATGACAAAGATGGGAACGTCGACTTCCTCGAGTTCGTGATCACGATCACGGCCTTGAAATTCTGCTGCCACCCAAACTTCCGAGCGCACCACGAGCGGAATGGCAGGACCCACGCGCTGTGCGCATTCCAAGTGTAACGCGCCTGTTGCATGATACGGATACTATGAAATAAACCGTGTGATCACATCAACGTGGCGTGCTTGTGACCTTGATACTCTCTAGGTATAGAATCAAGTGCAGTGGTTATCCATGCAATGTCGACGATGGACAGCTACCAGGATGAGTCTAGCGATATGGAACGTGCCAGAAATCCTTTTCCTGCTTGCAGTTCTGATTTAATAACTGGCAGGATAATTACAGCTGTGCCTTACCAAGATGGTTATCCCTGCATTAGATTGGTTGCAATTCACGGTTTTGCCCATTTGAAGTAAAAATAAAGTTGTCTTAAACGTTTCGGTTTACCCAAAAGTCCTGTTTGGTGTTGAGCATGTGTCCCTCAAACGTGTCAAGTATGAGAGTGATGGACACGTGCGAATTGTTTACAGATGACCTCCAAAACATGTTTGTGCATGGCCTTCACTTTATTGTGGGAATGTGGGCAGAAAACGGATGTCTGCTTTATTCAAACCGAATTCCCTTTCATCCCGCAGGACAATATTTCACCTTAAACCTTTAATTATTGAGCGATAGTTTCACGTGGTGTAACGCCAAAAAAAACGATTTACAATGAAGGAAAAATTGTCAAACTTATTTGACCCTTATGGCGGGGTCCCGAATAAACTAAAGAACATCGCAATTTATTTATTTTTTGCGACTCCGTCCCACCGCGCACATAAACGCTGTGACCCACTTGGCGCGGATCATTCTGTTAAGTCCACGCGCAGCGAGGACGAATGCGCAGGAGAAACCCAGCCTTTCAAGTTTGATTAGTGCATCGTGTAGAGCTCGAGAGACATAAATTGCCGTATCGTTCTCCTTCAACACACTGACGTCGCAACGCAGTTCACGCGAGAGCCGGGGGCTTATGGGACACCGGGATCCAGCCATTAGGTTCATATATAAATTATTAACTTGCATTTCATACGTGTAGACTTACACATGACACAGCATATGATGCTGTACTGTAACATATCTGTGTATGTGTTGCATAGTCAAGCTTTGGCCGAGTAACTCTGAAACTAACATTGTTCCCATTTATTCATGGTAGCCATTTAAGAATTCAAATATTTTGTCATTTGTTTTATACAATAACGCAACCAGTATAAATAGTTGCAGAATGTTTTGTTATTTAATGTTATGCTGATAAACTGCAACAAGTGAAAAATGTATAATGGAGGTTGGAGTTGAACTTACAACCACTTGACTGCTGCCGGTTTGTGACGGGCGTTGAGTATTGCAGTCTGTGCTGATTGCAAGCCCTGGGATATCTTATCACAGGTCAGGATTACTGTTATGTATAAATCATACTGGTGGGAACCTCTGGTTACACCAGCCCACAGGGGATTATTGTGTCTGTCTGTCGTGCATCCAAAAATGGGAGGGGTGGAGAGGGGAGGATGGGGAGGAGCTGGGTGGGGAGGGAGGGGCTGGGTGGGGAGGCGAGGGTGAGGAGGGGCTGGTTGGGGCTGGATGGGGAGGGTGGGGAGGGGAGGGTGGGGAGGGGCTGGTCACCCCGTGGTGCCCTTATAAAACTCAATGTTTAACCTACCCACGCCGGCTTGTGCCCGCCCTCACAGTCGGACATATTTGCGGAATACACCACGTGGTGCCGCCGTTGACCCTGGCCATTGACCGAGCAACCCAATGTTCCTAGCAGCTCCCTTCGCAGGAATGTGTTTGATTTACACATGACACAGCACATGATACTGTACTGTAACGTATCGGGGTATGTGTTGCATATTAAAGCTTTGGCAGAGTAACTCTGAAACTAACATTGCTCCCATGGTAACCATTGATGGATGAAAATAATTTTTCATTTTTTTGCTTCTTTCGGTAAGGTCACGTAGAAGGGAAACAATAAAATAATAAAAATATAATAATACAAAACAACGTGGAGTTATTTATTTATTATTTTTTTGTTTCCCTTCTACGTGAATTTACCGAAAAAACCAAGAATATGAATCCCTGCAGTCACGAAAGCTTTAAATAAAAAATTTTCATTTGTTTTATACAATAACGCAAGCAGTATAAATAGTTTTTTTTTTAAATGTGGTATTTAAAGTTGTTATGCTAAATAACATTGCAACAAGGAACTAAGTAAATCAAATGATTGCTTGTTAACTGAAAAAAATGATTACAGAGGTTGTATTTGACCCAAAGACCTCGTGACTGCCGCCGGCTTGTGGCGACGGTTGTAAAATATTTATGAACTTAATGTAATTAAAAGTTAAATAGAGGGGTATTTAGGCCTTGACGGTACTGAATGAAGCTACAGGCAAGCGACAACTTCTCACCCATAGCGAGTGGATTAATACTCTTATATAAGCGCGCAAATTTATCGATATGATTAACGCTGCACTTTCCATTGATTTCCTGCAGGGGGCGATGCAAACCTACACTCCCCCTGCATGAACGACGGAGGCGCAGGGACAGACGTTCGATTACGTTGGAATCGATCTGCAGACGGCGGTCTACTCACACGGCCAGCTCTATGTCGCCTAATCTTGATTCCGCAATCCCAAGCAGGTGAACGTCCGAATTGAACCGAACCCCCAGCAAGGCCATTTACTTAACGACAAGAGAAAATTCACACTAAATGTCCTTTTCAAAGAAGTCTTCAAGATGTAAAATGATAAGCTTTTAATGAAGACAGAAAATTATCTCATTCAAAGCATAATACAATTCAAAGATGTTTCATTTTAAAGCTGCGCAACCTTTTTCATCCTTTCCTGGCCGAAGGGCCGTAAATGGTTGTGAGGGGCACCACAGGCATCCCCGAACAACCCTTAGCTTGTAATAGAAGCCCTCCTACAAATTTGGTGGCTCCCGTAAAAGGTGTTAGACTACCGTGTTTTTAGTCTGTTTTGTGTTCACGAATGCGGTCCGAGACATGTCGTTTGGTTTCTCCAATGTAACTACTACCACAGAGGCAACTTAGTTGGTAGATTCCGGGGTACTGTATGTCCGGAATCACATCTTTTACAGGCGGAACCAGATCATGGATTTTATATAATGTGTTAAAACGGACCTGGATCTTGTGTTTATTCAGGATTTTGAAGATCTTTTTTGTGATCCCCGCAATGTAGGGTAAAGTGATGGTTTTGAAAGGCTCCTCAAAGAGGGTCCTTCTTCATGGTTTGAGTGATAGCTTTGCGGATTGTACAGTTGGAGTAACCATTAGCCTTAAGAGCTTGGTGTACGTGCTTGAGTTCACTGCCTATGTGTTCCTGGTCGGATATGCATTGGGATCTATGGTGCAGAGTCTTGATGAGAGATTTCTTCTGTGATGGATGGTGGTGGGAATCCGGTTTCAGATAAGCATCCGTATGGGTAGCTTTCCTGTAGACAGAGTGGCTCATTGAACCATCAGGTCTCTTTTTTATTAGGACATCCAAAAAAGGTAGCTTGCCATCTTTTTCGACTTCCATGGTAAATCTGATGGCTGGGTGTATGGAATTGATGTGGTCGAAGAATTGGTCTAGAGCAGGCCGGCCATGTGGCCAGATGACAAAAGTGGCATCCACATACCTCTTCCAAAAGGTTGGGAGAAGAGTGGCAGTCAAGATGTCGTCAGTCTCAAATTTCTCCATGAAAATGTTGGCTATAACCGGAGATAGGGGGGAGCCCATTGGGGTGCCCTCAGTTTGTTTGTAGAAAGTTCCATTCCAAGTGAAGTATGTATTGGTTAAGCAGTGTCTCACCAGGGGGGGTACCTCGGTGATTAGTCCTTGATGAACCAAGTCTTCAATGATTGCGGTGGTGTCAGGTACAGGAACTTTGGTGAATAAGGAAACTACATAAAAACTGACAAGCAGGTCGTCTAGGGACAGGGAAATACCCTTGATTGTCGATACCAGGTGAGTAGAATTTGGTACCGCAGAGGTGTTTTTTCCGTTGAAAGGCCGCAGGATTTCAGACAGAAAACGAGCCAGTTTGTAAATAAATACAAACCGCCACTTCTTTCAAATGCTTCTTGCCTTTGGTTTTTCACACCTGATGATGACTGTTTGTGTTACAGTCGAAACGTCTTGAGAATTGTATTGTTTTATATATATTTTATTATTTTATTGTTTCCCTTCAACGTGACTTTACCGAAAGAACCAAGAATATGTATCACTGCAGTCACGAAACATTTAAATAAAAATTCATATTGATGTAATTTATACTTCGTTTTTTCACAATCGGTTTATTATATGATAGTTGGGTAGTTGCAGTCCTTAAGCGTCAATATTCTAAATGCATCTGTTAATATTTCCGTGACCAGTTACATGCTAATCCCTCACATTATCATCATGCTAATCTCCCAGTTACATGCTAATTTCTGACTTTAACACCCTGCTAATCCAACACTTTAACACAGCTATTTCAATGCTAAATTCTCCTGTTGATATGTAAACTCCTTTGTCAAGGCGCTCTGCTCCTCCCACCTAGCTTAAAAGATGCTGCGAAGCTTAGCAGCATTCATTGAAGTGCTGTTGTCCCAACAGTTCTGTTTCTTCACCTGAAGAAGGCTACTTGTGTTGTGGCCAAAACGTCGTGAGAATTTTATTAAATTATGTTTTATTTATATTATTTTATTTCCATTCTACGTGACTTTACCGAAAGAACCAAGAAGATGAATCCCTGCAGTCACGAAAGCTTTGAATCGAAATTTAACCGCCTCTACAGGGAGGGAGTCCACATAACCTTGAGATCCTTCAACAAACTCCGGGATAAGAAGGCTCAGCTAATCGAGTCTCTCACATTTCTAAAGAGATGCCGCGACTCTAAGGTAATACCAACCGCATTTACACTAACCTCTGTTGCTGTAACTTCTTTTGATGCAAGACGAATTCTAGCTAGAACTAGCTTAGCTCTTATCTCAGAAAAAAATCAGACTTATGCGCACCGAACTAGATCAGTTAGACAAGACACTCTTCAAATCACACTTATCATTGACGGCAACAATGTCCACATCGGATTGGGAACTTGTAGACAATATGACTGCCTCTTCAGCTGCCACTATGTCGACCAAATGTAAGGACAATTTTATTTCAAAATTCAACCGCCATTCCAACAAGAAATCGGATGCACACACCGAAAAGCTAGACGTTAACAAAGTCAAAATTAATCGCAGTAACAGTTCTATTTTTGATGGTCTGAAATCCGTTTTAGCTAAAGGGCTAAACTTTGCAGACACACCTAGACACATACCAGTTAATGATATCATTGCCCATGTCGACGTAGCACTCAAGGGCCTGGGTCATATCGCTGCAGACGTAGCAAGACCTGAAATCACTGAAACCCTCAAAAACGCTAA